ACCAAGGCGTTCCCAGGCCAGCCGAGAGATATAATCTCTCCAGCGTGTCCTGGGTCTGCGCCGGGGCCTCCTCCTTATGATTATTAAAAAAACATTATAAATTTGAACCCTTTTGTAACACAAAAGGTCATAGTCCATCCAACGGGGTTTGTTTTTTGTTTTGGAAAATTTGAAGCGAGAAGGCCCGATGGCAGACCTAGGACACGCTGTAGAGGTTACATCTCTTGGCTGGCCTGGGGAGGTGTTTCCCAGGTTAGCTGAGGGAGGTGGCTAGGAAGAGGGAGGTCTGGTTTCTCTGCTTGGGCTGTTTCCCTGCTACTCGGCCCCAGATAAGTGATAAAAAATTGGATGAATGTGAAGGTTCTCATTCATCCAGGTCATGGCAATCTACGCAGCTTAGAAAGAAATGGGTTCAGAGTGGAAGCAATTTCTCTAAGTGATGTCTGTTTTTAGAGTTAACTAAGCAAGCACTGCTTGCCCTGTTGGTCCTGATAGAACGCTACTGGTTAGAAGATATTATATACTAGGTTGCATTGACTAAATTGGACTTCCATAAAAAAGGTCCCCTTCTGAGTTCCTCAGAAAGATTAAACATGGTTTGATGATGGCCCAAAAAGAAAGGGTGGTTCACTGCTGGGTACAGAAGATGGTTGTTGTGGGTGTCAAGGGCAAAATGCTGTTAAGACAATGTGGCCTGATGCCTTGTAATATACCATGCCAGAAGGCCTGCTTCCCACACAGCATAACAAACGCACGTTAGAAAAGTATATGATTATAGTGACATGTTTTTGCAGAAGGTCATCTGTTCTTTTGCCCCACAGCGGTGCACTTATGGAGCAGTAAAAAACTACATTAGTCAGGTGCCAAAGTCAGGCTGCCATTCAAGAAGTTAATGAGGTCTAAAGTCGTCGTAGCTAGACCATGGCAAGCCCTGCGAACACACTCCTGGACACAACACATCCAAATGGACAGCAGCCGCTCAAGTGGCTAATTGGGAGAGGGGCAATCAGGGAACACAACAAACATTGCACCTACTGTGTATCATCGACCTTGACTCCAATGCCAATGCACACAAACACAAACACACATTCTCAGAGGGGGAGAGAAAAAAGAGAGAGAGAGAGGGAGAGAAAAAGCAGGCACACTGCATGGAGCCGTGAGGCATCACATTAGCACACACTGGCCTCCATTTTATCTCCTGTGGTCTTTGTCAGTGTTGCCTTTTTACCAGTTGGGAGCCAGCAGAGCGGGGGAAATGTGGCTTGGATTCCAATGTCTTGTTTAGAAAGATTGAAAATGCTGTGTCATTCCCATTATTGAAGTGCACAAACAACAACCTCCTTTGTCACTATTCATTATCAGGGATTATGATTGCTTTCTGTGCCCTTTGCATCTATCCTGCGAACAAAGAAAAACAGTAATGCAATAGTGACAATGGGAGCTTTTACAATCCCTTTGAGGAAGTCTGCAGTGATTAAACCACAGGTACACACTCATCAGCCACTTTGTAGTTACATCTGTTCAAGTGCTCATTAACACAACTATCTAATCAGCTAATCACATGAAAGCAACTCATTGCATTTAGGCATGCAGACCTGCTAGAGAGACCTGATGAAAACACCTGCTGAGTATCAGAATGGAGAAGAAAGGAGATTTAAATTTAAAGAAGGGAGATTTATGGTTTATTTCAAAGAGCTGCTAAAAGCGTTCAGAGTCTGCTGACAACGTGACAACAAGGAAGGTTGTTTCAAAGTTTAGGAGCCACAATCTAAAACGTAATACAAAGGTAGGGACACAGCGGTGTAAAACACACCACCACTGGATTCTAAAGCAGTGGAGATGTGTTCTCAGAAGTGACGAATCATGCTTCACCATCTGGCAACCCGAAGGATGAGTCTGGAGTTGGTAGCTGAAGCTGAGCAGAACAGTACTGTCTGACTGCAAGCTGACAAAGTTACAGTTTGGTGGAGGCTGGATTATAGTGTGGGATCGTAGGGGAGGGCTTCTTGGCCAATATCATTGTCTGATCTCACAAATGCAGTTCCGTAAGAATGGTCAAATATTCCCATAAACATACTCCAAAGCCTTCCGGAAAGCCTTCCCAGAAGAGTTTAAGCTGTTATAGCTACAGAGAGTGGGCACATTAAATCCTATGGATTAAGACTGGGCTGACAGTATCAACTTCATATGCATGTGAAGACAGATTAGTAAATACTTTTGGCAATAGCGTGTAGAATAAGAAAGAAGAACTGGACCAATGACTAAGCTCTGAGGCATCTCACATATTTGAAGTTATGACAGCGACATCTAGGTAATATTACATTCTGAGGTGTCTGTCAGATATGCATGATGGGATCGGTTGCAGAAATATTAATCCAGTTCTGTAATCTTTCAAGATGAATGGCGTGATCACCAGTAACGAGAATAAATAGAGCAGAATTAAAATATTCACCTTTCTCTAAGTGTGTAAAAATATAATATTAAAATATTAATATGGAAAAATGATAAAAATATAGTTTTTGCAGACCGGATTGGAACAAATATAGTGTTACCCTCAACCAGTCCAAGTAGCTGATAGGCAGCAACTTTCTTGAGGATTTTAGAAATAGATGAAAGTTTCGAAATGGGTCTGTAATTGTCCAAACCAGTGCGGATTTTTTAAGCAGATGAAATGCTGGCTGTATTAATATTTATTAAAACAGTTCAAGCCTAATTAGCACCATGGATCACTACTCTATAGAGATTGGGCTCTTTTAAAAGATTTGGCTCTTTTGTCTAGGCCAGTGTTTCCCAACCTTTTGGAGCCACGGCACATATTTCACATTAGAAAAATCACACAGCACACCACCAAACAAAAATGTCGCATATCGATCATTTTTCCCAGCACACCAGGCATAGCGGAATTGGCTCAGTTTGTCCCTAGTTTCGCTTTCTTCTGACCACTACTCATGCTAGGGCCTTCATCTGGGTCGGGGTTTTCTCCAGGGACCAGGTCAGATGGATTAGTTTTTCTTTTCTTTTCAAATACTTAATGAAGCGCTTAATAGCAATAGATGTCTCACTCACAGCATGACTATTATGTAATTTCTTCTTCGTCTTCGTCTGTTTTACTTGCAGTTGGCAACCCATTTAACTAGCGCAGGTAGTTGTACTGCCCTCTAGTGGAAGAGAATGTAATTGTTCTGCCTGTTACTCACGCCAATCGCTTAGAGTACTAATGAGGTGAAACCAGATAATCTTCCACGGCACACATGATGATTTCTCACGGCACACCTATGTGCTGCAGCACAGTAGTTGGGAAACACTGGTCTAGGCATCCTTCGAAGAGCTGGCTTTTCTGTTTTAGTCTAACCATTCAATTATGAATGGTTTGTGTGTTTAGATGATTTTTTTAATTCAGTGTTTTCATAAAGCCTTATTTTTATGCATTTACTGCTACTGGGGAGAACATACATTGGCTTTAAGGCCTGGACAACATTTTGCAAACTTGGCATTCTACAATAAATGCTCTCTGAAAAAAATTTGTAGTATATGTCCCATTCCTCATTTTACAAATTCTGCACTTAGCTTTGAAGTCTCCAATATCACTGACATGCAGCCAGATGGAGCTCCTTTTCTGTTTTTGCATGTTCACTTTTTCCCAATGCACTGGCACCTGGCCTGTACAACTGCACTTGCTGTCTTCGGAACATCCTATGCACATAGTCCTGCTTTAGTTTGTGTCAGCCCCAAGCCCACATCTTTTTTCCTGTGAAGAAACTGACAGATGTTAAGATTCCTTATATTGTTTCTGTGGGAAACGTAGTTGGAGTAACCTGTTGTGATGTAAAGTAGTTGGGTGTGCTTGGAAAAAGAGATGCTTAAACTTGATAATACTGGGACTTTAACGACACCTTAATTTTGTATAAAATTGTGCTGATTGCATCTTATAATCAGCTTGTTACAGTGTTTTATACATACAGTTTGTTATTAACACTCAAAGAGACTGATAATCAGAATACTTTATTAATCCCTAAGGAAACTACGTGGGTTACAGTTTCTCAAAGACAGTAACATTAACAGACTACACTAATTAAATAATACAATATGTTACACAGTTTACAAATTAAAGAAATAGCACTAATATATACAAATCACTCAATTATAAATATCAAGAATGATAGATAATAATGGAGAGACGTGCAGGAACTCTTTAAGATATTTGGGAAGAATAATGTCGTTGGGGCAGTAAGAACTATGCATGAGAAACTATATTCATAAACTCAGTCAACAGAACAAAAAGAAAGCCCTAACAATAACAGACATGGCTGAAACATCATGGCATCTTTTATTCAGTTTAGTTCCATTTTACTTATATATTTATTTATATAGCGCCAAATCACAAAAACAGTTTGCTTTATACTTTGCAAGGTAACGTAAATACACCAAATAATACGAAGAAACCCTCAACAATCAGGTTTAGGGAGGGGCAGCCATCCACCCACGGCCAGTTGGGGCTGAGGGGAAGAAGAAAGACACGTTGTAGAAGAGAGAGAGTAATATTAATGGTAGCACTTTCTATTACAGCTCGGTTATGAAGTGGTAATAGTAGGGTAACAAGGTAGAAACAAGAAAGTAATGTGCTTAATTAAGAAATTATTAATTACACAGAAGGTACCACAGGTGGTAATAAGTAGGAAACAGAGATGCAAAATGCAAAACTGCCCATCTCTATTTAATAACATATTAATAACCTTTTAAATACAAACTTAGAAACTGTTGCGGGTGTTTTTCAATTCAATTCAATTTTATTTATATAGCGCCAAATCACAACAAAAGTCGCCTCAAGGCGCTTCATAGATCCAGAGAAAAACCCAACAATCATATGACCCCCTATGAGCAAGCACTTTGGCGACAGTGGGAAGGAAAAACTCCCTTTTAACAGGAAGAAACCTCCGGCAGAACCAGGCTCAGGGAGGGGCGGGGCCATCTGCTGCGAGCGGTTGGGGTGAGAGAAGGAAGACAGGATAAAGACATGCTGTGGAAGAGAGACAGAGGTTAATAACAGATATGATTCAATGCAGAGAGGTCTGTTAATACATAGTGAGTGAGAAAGGTGACTGGAAAGGAAAAACTCAATGCATCATGGGAATTCCCGGCAGCCTACGTCTATTGCAGCATAACTAAGGGAGGATCCAGGGTCACCTGGTCCAGCCCTAACTATATGCTTTAGCAAAAAGGAAAGTTTGAAGCCTAATCTTAAAAGTAGAGATAGTGTCTGTCTCCCGCAGGGTTTTGTGTTCTAAGCAGGAATCCCTATTGGTGTTAGATTTTACCATGTCAGCCAATCAAAAAAATGATAAGGCAACATGTGGCACTTGGTTGTTAAGGGAGAAGGGGAAGTTTTTAGGAGTGACACCCGTGACGGAAAGCGGGCGAGTGAAAGACAGAGAGAGAGAGTGAGTTTTCATATGTGAGACATTAGTGATGTTTAGCGTGTTTGGAGGCTGTAGTTAGTGTGTTGTGTAGTTATTGTCTTGTATTGAGTGTCAGTTAGACTGCTGAATTTCATATTTGCTCTCAAAAAGCCGTCAAAGGCAGATTCCAGTGTAAACGCTGTTCCCACATGGAAAACTGGACTGATGCACCTCCTGCTGTCAGACCTGCAGGGTTTAGGCCTGTGGTATGCTGCTCTGTCTTATACTGAACACAAACTACATTTTTTGGGACTGGCACAAATAATTTGTGTGCCTTATTATTTGATGCAGAACACCTGATTGTTCTGTAAATAGATTTAAATGGTTATATAAAAAACGCCTGAGGCCTTGGCTGCATTTTTAGGTAAATAGTACCATATAACTTTGTTGTTTGCAAAACTTGTGCATAATGTTTAGAAATGTACAATTTCTATTTGCATTTCAAGTTACGAAAATGATTCATTAAACATGTTTGTGGGTTTTACAGTAAAAAATATAACTTTTGTTCTACTTGGATTTTGAATTTTTTGTCTGAATTTAGATCAACTGTGCTAATATAGTATACCAAAATGAGAAAATAACTCAAATTTCAGATATTTGAGGTTGTGCTGAAAATAATGATACCAGACAAGGCAAGACAAATATATTTTAAAGGTGAAATATGGAGATAAAATCAAAAGTAGTCAAAAACGGCCAATTATACCCTGGACCCCAGAGGGTTAATATCACCAACCATTCCCATTTTATTACGGTGCATCCATATAAATGGCCCACCCTGTAGAAATCTAATAAACCGGTCAGATTCTATGCTATTTTGTCACCTCCTTGTCTATTTCTCTCCCTTTTTCTCTCTCTTTCAGATAACTTGTGCAATGGGAAGTTCCACAAACACTTGCAAGACCTGTATGCCCCCCTGGTAGTCCGATATGTTGACCTGATGGAGTCTTCCATTGCTCAGTCTATTCACAGAGGCTTTGAAAGAGAATCATGGGAACCGGTTAAGTAAGGACATCTTTCTTTAATTTACCTTTGCTAATTTTTTCTTTTTCTTGAGGATCAAACCATATTGATTGGCACACATCCATTAGCATTGCTTTGTAGTCCTTGTCAGCAACTTTTGTAGCATAAGAACATGCTTATTTTTTAATACATGAAATTCATTTAATCCATAATACATATACAATTGAGTTTATACAGAAAATTTATGTCTGTTTCTGTGCTCACAGAAACAAGTCTGAACCTGATTTCAGATTTGCTTATCCCACACGTGCCTTATGCAATTATATGTCACTTTCCACACTCCTGCCACAAATACGGTACTTCACCTTCTCCCTATAATTCTATTGTGTAACACCAGTAAGGACCATCTCTTATCTGCACCACATTTCCACCACTGTCAAAAGTTTTAACTCATCACCTTGAATCTTATTTTATGGAACAGGAAGATGCTCCAGGGAGCCAAGGCTAGCAAGTAGTAGATGAGGGATGGGGCAATTATGTTGATGGGCCAAAAATGTCAGTGTGAAATGATGCAGACAACTCAGGGCAAGACAGTAAAACTCTGACCTTAAGCCCTAAGCAGAACTGCACATTACTGTGTATGTTCCTGATAAAAGTTTTAACTATGCGTCTATTGAATTTTAGTCTTGTAGACTCCACATAGCTCATTTAGGCTCAGCCCATGGATTAAGGGCTGGGGTAGGGGCTCAACATGGGCCCTACCCTGGGCCTTGCTTCAGGGTGAGGCCCCAGTATGTGTACTTCAGGCAAGGTTTCCTGATTCCTTGTTCTCATCATCAGAGGGTTTTTTTCTTTAATCACGATCTTCAGACCTTGGCAATATTAAGTGGAATATATAGATAGTACCCTTTAAATGTCACACTGGAGCAGTAGTTCCCCTTTTCAATGAAGGGGTTAGGAAGCTGTGCTTTAACATTGGGGGACCACAATTGTTAGGAAATTACATGCCTTCTTATGAATGCAATGCAAAGCTTGTTCTGTATTTCTGGCAAACGGTCAGGCATGTTCATGTCAGGTATTGCACTCAGTCTGCAAAATCTACAGATTATGATACTAAGTGTACTGAGGTATTAGTAGACAGGTGGCGCGAGACCCACAGGCTCAAGCAACATAACACCTACAGCTCAGGCTCAGGTGGTGTGGTACTCACAAGCTCAGGGTCCAGCAACTGGGGCTGCATCACACAGCATGTAGTCTCCTCAGGCTGGGGCTGCTCAACAAGGGTTCCACTGGTTCTGAAGCCTTCTAAGCTCTGGGAAAACACAATGAGCAAAGCAGAAGAGAGACGCTTTATATGCCACTATCTAGGGGCAAGAAAGTACAATAATAAAGGTTAAGAGTGGGTTAAGGGTTAAGGTCTTGCTCTTCCATTCTCCAAAACCAGAATCAAATTCACAGTTGAAGGTAAAGTTGACGCGTTGAGGCTAGACTAGCTCAACCAATCAGGGGAGAGACTTGCAGAAACACTGTTCGGCCAGGGCAGTAACAGAGGAATGTCAGGATGCGGAGGCTTTTTCTGCACAAGGAACAAACCACACTGGAATGGTAAATGGATTGTGTTAAGAAATAAATATATATTCTTAATGCTTATTTACTGACTATATTGTTTTATGTATTTTAATAATAGAGGCCTTTATAAACAAGGCCCAGAGTTGACAAAGAACTAGGTCAGAGGGTGACAAGTTGAAGTTAGAAAGAAGTAAAGAAAAGGGGAAGTTTAGTGCAGAGCTGCACAGGAAGTAAGACACAAAGAAAGAGCAACTGGTACCATACAAGGAGTTGTTTTGATCGAAACTTAGCGTGTGACGTAGCTGAACTATACATATACACATTCACCTTGTGATTTTTCCAGAGCTGCGGATGTGTGCTTGTGCTGCAGTTCTCCATTTCCGTAAATGTAAAATAAAGATCATTTTTTGAGTTTTGACCACACTGGGTCCAGTTTTTCTTTTCCGCCAAAAGAATTAAAAGAACTAAATTTAATAATTGGTGCCGTGACCCGGATTCTTTTGCGGCTGAGAGGATAGATTGGCTTAAGGTGGGATCTGATATGAGGCGAACAGGAGACCGGTCTAAAAGATTTAAAGGTTAGCACAAGCTTGTTCAAGGAAAACACAAATTTGTGCATATTGGATGAATTCTAAATTATCTGTTTGCCGAATGGAAGATCCTTAAATTGGCTCAGGAGTGGTGAAATTAAAGTAAATTATAAAATCTGTTAAGTAGATTTCAGGTGAAGACCCTTATGAAGAGAACATCGAGGGAACAGTTTTACCCTGCCCGGGATAGGGTTACCGAAGCCCCGCCCTGGAGCCAGGCCCGGGGAGGGTGCCCGAGGGCGAGCGTCTGGTAGCCGGGAGTGACCCGACAATTTCCGGGGACGAGGTCACTGAGGCTGTTAAACAACTCCTTGGTGGCAGGGCCCCTGGTGTTGATGAGGTCCGCCCCGAGTTCCTGAAGGCTCTGGACGTTGTAGGGCTGTC